CTCTGTCCTCATTAGTTAGTCCACCCACACACTGGGCTTACCTACATGGATGCATGCACTCACAAACACGCAATCACAAACCCAAATACACATACACATACTGTATGCTAAAACCCAGTGCACCAATTGATAAGCATTAATGTTCCCCTGTAAGTGTTGTACTGTTCTTCAGCTGGCTGTGAGCATTAAACTCAAAGGGACTACAAAAGCAATATTTCACCAAACATTACATCAGAGCTTCAGGTACGGTCCACATACAGTATGAAGCATTGTTTCAATTCATTTTCAATAGTGGCTGAGGTTTGTTCAGAAAGGACTTATGACAGAATATTAAAGGCCCAGTGTGTAACATTTAGGAGGATCTACAGCGTATGTTTTCATAGCTGTATAATTCACGCTGGAAAAAAGAATCATGTGTTTTTGTACCTTAGAATGAGCCATTTTCATCTACAGAGGGAGCAGGACTACATAGTCCTCCATGTTGAACACTGGCTCTGATTTCCCAGCCACTAAATCCTACACACTGGTCATTTAAATCATGTTAAACATTTACAAAATAAGACAGATCTATTTAGCTAAATAGAAAAAATAATTTCTAACATTGTCCTCTTTTTTATTTTAGCCCTCTTGGCATCTACTGACTTCTGCTTTACTCATCATGTTTACTTCATTAAAACAACCCAGCGGTCAGAAATATCTCACATCAAAAAAAACTGTCCCTTTTCTGGAGGATCCGTGCTATTACTACAGATTGAACTCCAGTGATTCCACATGACAACTCTACAGTAACTGACTCATACAGGTTTTGAGGACCAGTATGCTGAGTGGGATTTGCTCCGCACTGCTATGCCTCCAGCCACTACCATGATAAACCTCCACTGATCCACAGCTTAAGATGATTTGTTCAGGAAGAAAGTGTAAAAAGAAACACATTTTTTTAGGTACTATTGCACATCATTTCTTCTTTATTTTTCAGCCGCTTCCAATCAGTTTTAGTTGTCGATATTAACCTACTGTGACCTGGTTTTGAGACTCTTGACTAACTTGTGACTAACTGGCCTCATCCACTGCTGCCCTACATTCACAGACAAGACGTCACGTGCAGGAGTGTGTGTCTGTTTTGTGTTTTAGGTGTGCATCTGTGTGTGTACCAGCAACTGCTTGTGTTGTCTTTGAGAGTTTAAGAATGTCAGTCTGTGTCTGTCAAGCAAACACACTGTGGTTTAAAGGTACTGACATTTCTATTTTTATTTTTTTTATTTTGTTTTGGGTTTTTTTATTGGTGAAGGCAGACAACACGTCAGGTGATTTCACACAACAGAACATTGAAAACGTTGAGACAGACCTTTCAATGGTGTGTGCGAGGTTTCTTTAAATGTCCTCCCATGGCTATTTTCACTGACAGGTGACGTTTTTGCCACTACCACCCTGTCAGAGTGGCTAGAAGGCAGGACACACACTTCATGGTAAGGAGCAAATGTGCCTCTTGTGTGTGTGTTTGTGTGTGTGTGTGTGTGTGTGTGTTTACAGTAGTCTCTAAATGTACTCTTTTTTTCCCACACAGCAAATACCTGATGGGTAATCGCCAGCATCCCTCTCAACTGCTGTGTCTCTCTGTATACTTGTCTTCTTCTATCCATCACTGACCATCCATCGCTCTCAAGCTATCATCCTACCAGTGTGCACGCAAAGCATATGTGGGATGAAGCTTCAGCTGCCAGCTGATAACTGACAGCACTGGGTCTTTGGAAAAATTTGACAAACACGCTTCATTTATTCTGGTCGGTGTATTCTTTTTTACAGAACAAAACAGGACTTTAGATGTCTGGCAGATGTTAGCATGCTGTGTTCACTTACAGGAAATTGAGAGAGGAAAGTTGAAAATCTATATTTTTTGTGAAAGAAAATCACATTACAAATAAAGGACCTTGAATAGACAAGGCACTATATATTATGAGCTGCTCTCTTGAGATAAATGAAGCTCAGAGGATTAGCTCGACAAGAACAAAAGGAGATAATTAGGTTATGAACCATGGAAAATCTGCAACGGTGCCTTTGTGACATTTCCAGAAACCTAGACTTACCCTTTTGGAAAAGCGCAGGGCTGGTCCTACATCTCCTATTTCTCATTGTGTGATTCAGCCAACTCTTATGGGGTGAGACCAAAAGCTATTATGCTGTTGATACATCCTCCCATACACTGTGACATAGTGTCCTACATGTTTTTTTTTTACCTACTTTCTCTCATCTTTAATCTCTCTCCCTCTCTCTCTGTACACACATACATGCACACGCACGCCTTTGCACTCAAGCATATTAGAAGAACACTCTGCTACTTAGGATGGTAAATGAGTGCCTGCCTCCATTAAGAGTTGTGGCATGAGTCTCTCTCTCTCTTTTGCTCTAGCTCGCTCTCCCCTGAAGCCACTGGCATGGGAAGATATCTGTTCTTGTCATAATCTTCTGAACATGTTGCTTTGCTCTGATGAACTGTTAGCTTGTCAAAAGCAGTACATTTAATTCTTAATCTATGTGCAAGTGGGGAAGTAACAAATTGTAATGCGGTCATACAGTATTACAGTTTATGAAACGTATCTACTACTTAATTTTCACTTGCGTATTTCATGAATGTGTAATGTGACAAATGACAAAGCACAGTTGAATCCATGGGTTATTGGTGCAGAAAGCTGAAAATATAACTAGAACCTTACATGACCGCTTATGCTTTGGCTAAAAAGGGTTTCAAAGAATTGGACTTTGACATCCAAAATCAGGTCTTCTTATTTTTACAAAAAGCTAATTTTACAAATATAAACTCCTGCAGCATCTACACAGAGGTAAAAAATTTTGTAGAACATAATTTTAAATTTTACTTTGTAAACAAACCTCAAAGCAATTACAAATTGGGCCTTTAATACACAAACACATTAGCTGAGACATAAACTGTAGACTTGATGGAAAATGTAATAGAAAATACAAATTCTCTTGACCCCAAATTAGGAAATAAATAATCAAATAGGGGGAAAAAATACATAAACAAGCTAAGATGTTCCTTTTTATGTCCCGTAAGCTAAGGCAGACATGCTCAGTCAGGTTGCAACAGTCTGTGCCTCTCATTTTCTTACAGCTACAGTGAGTCATATCTCATCCATATTGGCATAATTTTCTCTGAGCATGTGTGTGAGTGTCCATGTATCCCATCAGGCTTGCACGTCCCTTCCTTGGACACTGCTCCAAGACTTCTGTGCAGTGACTAAGTCCTCCCACTCTTTCTTGCCCTGCCTCCCTCCCTTCATTCACTGCTCCCATCACTATCAATCAGCAGCTATTTGACCTACTTTCCCCATCCTTCCCTGCTCCTTTCAGCCATAAAGACAATCAGCCATCCACAATTGGACATAAAACATGTGTGGATATCAAGTGTGTTGGACTCTGAAGAAATTAGCCTGACTTCTTAACAACAATCTCGCTGGATGTGGCTGGCATTTAAACCATGTGCTTGTTTTGTTACCTGCAGTATACAGCTGCATAGTGACAGCATCCAGCACTATAAATATGGATCAATGGTAACTGAGCCTGCCTTGACACTCATTCTACCACACAGACTGCGTCCTCTGTGCTGTCTGAAGACCCGGTCCAATAGATACAGATGGTTTGGATCTCTCTGCTGGGTAATGATTGCAATTCCATAGCTGTCACAGGCGAATGAAGTGAGATTGAGCGGGGATCGATGCACAAGCAGAAAAGCAAAGAGGAGGAGGAGTGGATTAGAGAGGCAAGGTTAGACCTGGTGAGGGGCGAGGGGTGAGAGGAAGGTGTATAATGATTGGTGGTAATGGACTCAGAAACAGCGCTGTATTACATGGCATAGTGAGATGGACACGACGGATCATTATAGAGTTGGTTATGGCGGATTACAGGGAGCACTCAACAATATTTTCTTACTGTCTTCTCACCTTTCACCCTTATCTGCATCTACAACCTGACCCATGCATGCATGCACTGTGCAAAAGGACATGCACGTTTGCATGCATCCACTTCCCTGCAACTTCAACGTGGACAAATATACAAGCACAGACGCTTTACTCTCTCTCTCTCTCTCTCTCTCTCTCTCTCTCTCTCTCCGATATTGATCACCCCCCACAACACACAACACATTATGCAGCAAATAGTCACAGAGACCAGGCGATACATGCAAGGAAATGCATCCTTCCCCCTGCCATTTCTCAATCTCTGTTAACCACCACTTTCTTTACCTTCCCACAACACGGCACAAACATTTTCTCACGCATACACACACAAAGCACACACAGCATTTCCCAGGACATCCACTCAGCGGGGGAGACTACCATGGACAAAAGAGGCGTCAGGATTCACCTTATTAGAGGAACGGGACGGCCCTTGGAGGGGTTGGAAACAAAAGAGACACTACAATATTAAACTGAATATGTAAGCGGACACACGCACACGCGCACGCACACACACATACATACATACACACACAAGACACTGAGTGACCTACTTCATCTCTGATGCCTCCTGTTTTTTTTTTGTTTTTTTTAAGAAACACAGTTTTTATGAAATCTGTATGAGTCTGTCTGTGTGTGTTTTTGTGTGTGATTATGAAGGAGAATGAAGACACAGGAAGAAGGTGTGTGTGCTTTACATGACCATGTGTAAACTCAAGGGATTTCAAAATTACTCCTTACTGTGCAGCAGAATGTGAGCTATATAAGATATGCATCCATAATAAATGGATGTTACATTAATTATACACTAAGATAAGAGACGTTGAAATTACTTATGGGCCATGTAGCACATGCCATAAGTAGCCCTTTGTCTGCAGTTGTGTTTTGACTAACAAACAGAAGAGTGTTATGTCAAGGGGAGTATTATATATCACATCAGACTGACTTCAGTCTATGTTTAATGTAACAATTCTGGTAATATAATTATAACTAATTTATTTATTTATTTTCAGTGTAGATCATATGATGACATTCATGAGTGAAAAGTGGGTAGTGGACTGCACTGTCAACCACTCCTAATGTTGCAGGAGACTGCTGTCAGATTACATCAGCTGTCTCGACACACATGAATACATCTTGTGTAATGCAGTCACCTTCATACAATGAAACCTACCTTGGAGTGCCAACAATGTGTCTATTCCATATGTGCTGGTAGACAGTGTGTTGTTGGTGGGTGTGATGCTTATGCAATAACAGTGGAAATATATTTTACTGTAGCCTCATAGACACCTAGATAGACCATAGAGACCTGTTTTACGTGCATGCTGCCTTTTGACTAATGTGTACTTGGATAGGCAGTAGCCCCCTATCACCCTGCACAGGATGAGCAGGTATAGGAAATGAATGAATGGATGGTTTTCATCAAAGGCAACTATAAGGTCTTGGTAAATGGTAAATGGTTGTGTATGTCCAAGCACATTAAATGTTTTACCAATACAAGAAAATTATTGAAATACAGCATAATGCTCCCTAAACCGCTAAGACACTTTTTCCATGAGACTATACAATATGCGTCACATCCTAATACCCACCAATGTTGGTTTTTATTTTCTAAGGTTTTGGACAGCTGCCTTTGAGACATACAATGCTTTGATGCTTTGATGACTGATGATGATGATTTAAAATGCACTTGCACAGCTACATAATTATAAACTACAACCTTGAGATAAACCATCTTTGCTTATTTGTCTTTTTTTCACAAGGAGTTTTACTTAGTAGTACATTTTCCTAGAATTATTAATGAAGATACATGTTTGAAAAGGCCTGAGTGTATTTAGTTTTAGTTCGGTGGGTTTAGAAGGTGCATGCCAAGTCTGAAATATGCTCTCTTAACTTTGTTGCTCGTCCTCTCCTGAATTTCCCCACTATGTTTGCTGTCAATTCCAACTATACACCTAAAACTGGTGGCGACTGCATATTCCATGTGAGGTCAACGCCGAAGATGATGACTTGTGAAAGATGTCAAAGAAAAACCTGCTAGAAAATGAATTTTCCTACCAAAGTAAAAAATATCCCTTTATGTATTTGAAATCTGGGTTTCACAACCCAATTATTTTCAGGTACACTTTTGCTTAAGTCTGACAGGAAGTTTTAGATAGCTGGCTGCTAGAGAAGAGATTTCAAAACACCTGACAGATAAATGCTTGGTTTGGTGTGTGAGTGTGTGTGTGGTAACTGTAAAATACAACAGACAGAGAGAAAGAAGGAGGCATGCTGGCGCTTCGCAGTTCATTTGCTTTCACTGCAATAAATTCTGTAAATTAAAACTTCAAATTTCTTAATATTCTAAGTGCATAAATGTTCAGGACACTTGATTGTTTTTAATGACACGTTTTAGAATATATATAACATATAATAAAGTTAATTTTAAATGCAGTAAATGAGATTGGATGAAAGGTTAATCAGTATAGACACCACCAAAAACTGCAGCATGCACAGATAAGGATTATCTGTAATCTGTGTGTGTTGTGGTCCTGGGAAACATCTGAGTTTTTTTTCAATCCAAGACCATCAATTACAGAGAAAAAAAGACAGGGAACCTTTATGTGTTAATCTCATTTTAAGCATGTCATTAATATTCCAAAAAGTTTGTGTTAATTGCATTATATAACTTGCAACTATTTTTGTCTTGATTATCACATTATGAACCACATCTTTTATTTGATTTGATCACTGCTTACTCAACACATTGAACTATACTGTTTGTGCAAAAGACTTGGATTTTCATCACCTATGAATCCTGTAGTTGATATGTATGTCTCTTAAAAGGTAATAAATACTTACTTAGAAATAAAAAACAATGAAGGACTTGAGGACAGTAACCAAAGAAATCTTGACTAGTAACCTTCCCTGACAAATCTGACTGAAGGCTGATGTACAAGTTGGTAAACAAACAGCCAAGAACACATTTTGCCCAAGGGAGCAAAGAGGGGCTTGCCATAAATGTCTTGCCATAACAGATTTATCTTGTAGTGATGAGCACATCTGTTCTGGTTTGTTTAGATGCATGCAGTTTAGAAAGTTTGTATTTGTTTATTTGTCTTTATTTGTGTTTATCTATATGTTGTTGCATGGATGTAACATGTGGTCTGAGAGGTGGTAATAAATCAATTAAAATACATTTTACATCAGTTAGTCTTTGCAGACATACAAGACAACTGTCAGGAGTAGCATTTAACATTGTGTTGAATTTGAAGGAAGAGTGTTGATTGCACAAAGTGAGGATGTTGGATGGCACAAAAAAATAAGATGTTACTGTTCTTCCAGTACAAGCAAAGTTGTCAGAGTTTCTAAAAATGTCAGATGATGAGCTGAAGGAAAAGCTGAAGTAAATGCAATTTTGGTGAAGCCATAGAGAGAACAAATGCACCCAGACCAATGGCAATGAGGCGAAGGAAACACAAAGGGTGCTAATTTTGTACATCAAGGTGCATGATGCAAAGTGCAGTCAAGTGTGCTATTTTTGTGGCTGTACTGCCAGCAGTTGGATTTCCATCCAAATGTAGCGCGAATTTGAAAGGAACTTGCATAAAATCTGCAAAAGAAAACGCTTATTAAAGAGAGTTTTCATCGACAACCATTATGGTAAAACTGAACCATCATGATTCCTCTAACACTGCTTAAAATGCAGTATCGGCAGTTGTAGGTAAGACAAAAATATTACTGCACATCAGGAAAATGCCTCTTTGCACCACGCACCCATATGAAAATAGAGCCCAAAGTAGCAACATATCCTTTTTTGACAGGAACAGACAAGTGTAATGGGAAATGTGGCCTTATTCTAATGGAAGCTAAACTCATGTGAGAGAGGCTACCAATCATCTTGACCTTGGTTACAGCTATTATACCAAGCGGTATTACACTTAATTAGACTGTGAAGTATAAATTAAATCCTAAGCCAGTTTATTGCCTACTGTAAAAGTATATGTTAACAGTACTTACCACTTTGGGCTTGAAGGGCGGCTGTATCTCCCTGTTCTGGAGGCGTTCCCAGTCGATACGTCTGAAGAAGGCATGTTCTCGGATGTCCCTCTCGCCCTCAAGGCTGCAGCCCAGACGCTTGGACGGGTGCTTGGTCATCAGCTGCTCACAGGAGGAAACAAAAAGGAAGACATGGAGTTAAAACAAAGACACTATAAACTGTCATTCAGAATCACAGTGGCGATTCCTGTTCCAGATCACATAGGATTTACTGTTCTTAACAATGGTGTAGGTTTTAGGGTCTCCAAAAAAAAAGTTAAAAAAAAGAAAGAAGAAACAGTGTGGGATGCATGATTCACATAGGTTTTTCATTGATTCACCACTTCAAAGAAAAAGTAAAAACCTTTTTTCTTTCTTCAGTTTCTAAAGTAATTGGGGAACTAATAGCACATCAGGAAAAATCTCTCTGTTTTCTCTCGCTCTGGTATTCTTTCACTGATGTGTTTTGTAACGTGATTCCACCTCTTTTCTAGGTCAGTAAATGACAGCTAAACAGATGGGTCTGAAAAGAGAGATATAATTGTTATTTTCCTCCCTCTCCCTCTCCTTGTTCTGCCTTTAGAGAACTGCTGCCACTTCTAATCGCACCGCAGACAACACGAGGACACAGTTTGCACTTTGCTAAAAAGCAAACCAAGATAAAAAAAGAAGTACCCACAGGAAACATAACCAACAACAAATCTGTCCTTGTTAAATAATGTAGAAGCCCACTGGTATTACTTAAACATAACTGTCCAAATAATGTGCAAAAAATTAAAGGTAATTTGTCCAGTTTACAGTTGGAGAACATATACATACTTGCTGATTGCATTAACGGAACCCCGAGTTGGTCTGGAAGAGGAAACAAATGTTTGTCTGTTCACAGTTGTAAATGCATTAAAGCAATTCTTAATGGAACATACTTGCTGAGTGGCTGCTTGTTTTTCTGAGTGTGTATGATGAATTTCACCAGTTATACTATTTACATAACTATTTTGCATTTAAACTCCAGCCTCAGTGCAGTGATTTGTCCCGATTGAATTGCTAAGGAAAGGAAAGAAGATGGACAGTTAGCCTGGTGGGTTTCAGTATTGACAGTCCAAGGACAAAATGACTTATTCATGAGCTGGAATCTGAAATGGAAATGGTGCTTTGTTTGACTGAGCTAGTTTAAATGCTTAAATAGGCTGGCTTCCTGGCTCTGGTATCGTGTGCAGTCACAGTGTATATTTTTTAGGTGGTACGCCCACAGTGAGAGTACAAACATACACACTGCAGCACCTCCAGTTAAATCCATAATCTGTGATGCAGACCTTCACGTACAGCTCAGTCACCTTGGCAGTTCTCCTGAATTATTTGACATGAAAGGCAATTGCGCTTGGAGTGTTTTATGGTTCTTACAAAGGGAAGACAGTAACCAATGTTAAGCTATCTTACTACAGCCTCTGACCAAAGGCAGACACACACTTACACTGGCCTGTCAAACAGGTTTAATTACTAAACTAAACTAAATTCAATATTTTTGTGATGACGTTTTTTGTTGTTTTAAAGGAATAGTTTGAGATTTTGCCAAGACTTGGATAATAAGATTGATACCACTGTCGTGTCTGTAAGGTAAATACAGTGGCTCTACACTCCAGACCACACTCCACAACTCCATCGCATGGTTTTATACAAAACTTGTTTTTGGTTTTTTAAGCAACTCTGTGCTTGGCATTTTTTCGAGAGCTGACTTTGTCTAATGTACAGAAAAAATTAGGGGAAACACCCTCATAAAATTCAAGTTGTCAATCATTCCTGCTGCCTAGCTCTGCCATCACACTATCTCTCTTGAGTGTACAGCTCTGCAGAACTCTGCATTTTATTATGATGTACAGTATGTTTATTTTGTTCTGCTCATTCTATACTGTATATGTAAACATTCTGTAATGATATATTTTCATAGAACTGATTGTGACTAGTAACATATCGGTAAACAGCTCATCATTTTTTGGGATTTCAAGTTGCACAGATGTTGGTGCAGCTGTTCTGTTGGGGTTTATCACTCATTATATTGTCTCTTTATAAGCAGCACCAGACTTCACAGATGTTACAAAAATGTGGATTTCATAGTTGTTTGAAATTTCCCTCTGTTCAAATATTACTTTAATTTATTTCTGAAATATTTTATCATCACCTCTTATCCGTGTTGGGTCCTGTGTATATTATTTTCTTAGGAGCCAAATTGGTATTTTTTTCTTATTATTATTAAGACAGATACACATGCACTATATACACACTAGCTGTAGCAGACTCTTTCTGAGGACATGCTAACAGCCACCAAGGGTGATACTGTGCTGTTCATAGTATGTGCTGGATATAACACAGAATATCTTAAAATGTTTCTCTGACAGAAGAGAAAAATGCACAAGCGCTTTAACTTGTCTTTTAAGGATATAAGGTTATTTGTTATTTACAAATTACATATTAAATGAACATTTTGCCACTGCCACTTATTCCTTGTTCTCTTACAGTTGTTGTTTCGTAAAACATGATAAAATAAGGACAGAAAAGTGTGCATTTATAGACAAATTAAGTGCAAAAATATATCACTGCACTGCCAGATTTTGCTGAACTTTTAGAAGATTTTTTTTTCATTTAAGAGATATGACAACATCGTATGACATGCTAAAATGGCAAACTTTTGTTAGTGTTGAATTTCTACTTGCAGGATTTTTGCAGGCCAGCTTTCCTGCAGCAAGCCCCTTCAACATACAGGCCGTGGGGCTGGGCCACATCTGAACTAGCAGAGTGCATCCAGCTGGCAGAGTACATCAGACAGCTGTTGACGAGGAAGAAAAAGTCATTTACAGCTTTCTGTCTGTTCACAGGACTGTCACACGGTGAGAACGCATCCTGCTGCAATCACAAGGCTGTCACCATTAAAATGACACACCTTACACATTGAAATGTCCTTGAAATTGACTGCTGGCCTGCCACCATGTCAATCAAACGCTCAAGCTTTTTTTTTTTTTTTAAACTTGAGTTTACTTGAATCACTTTGCATAAGTGTGATGGATAATCCTGAAAAAAGAAAACGTGGTGACATTTCATGGAGAACATGATCAGTTTGTCTGCAAACTGTTAGCACTCGCGTCTTCCTCCACCACATCCTGAACTGTCAGCAAGTGGTTCAGTTGCATGTGTTAAGAGAAAGTGTACATAACTTTGAAGTCACCCTGTTGTTTCTGCTGAGAACATCAAATTGTTTGACTTGACGATGGCGAAACGGGGTGAGAGTCAAGAAGTTGGAGAGAAAAAGAGAATTGGAGTGAGGAATTAAAGGATAAGGACTCTCATTCAGAAGGGAGTCTGGCCTGGTAAAACTGAGTGATCCAGTACATCGAGGCTTTCAAAATCACATACACGATTATCATCATCATCATCATCATCATCATCATCATCATCATCATCCTTTAAAATTTAGTTTAAAAATGTGTTTGTTGCATTCTGACAACAGGGGACTCTACTGAGGCAAAACATCTAATCAAAGACAAACTGAACTTGTACAAATAATAAATCGGTTTAACTATTAACTTCTCTGCTGCTGACAATACAACACAAAACCTACTGCCCCCTTGGGATTTAGTTGAGGATATTGAGACACAAGCACCCTCATGTTTTTTAACTTGATGATTTTGCCACAGAGCTCTTGAGATTCATTCAAGTAAAATAGTCAAGGGTTGATGAGGCTGATATTTACCTCTTCATCACAATTTTTATGTATATCTGCCCCACTCTCATTCTCTTCCACATATAATAATGAACTATAACAACACTCTAATGGACGACCTTTAACATCCCATTACTTAAGTGAATGTGTATATACATCTGTGACCTATTTAAAATGTAATGAACTGTACAGTGTATGGTGGGCTTGCTAAGAATAGAGATCGTCTGTATGAACAGTTTCACAGTAAAACTCCACCAGCAGACTTAAGTTTGCACACAACAGATATACTGTTTCTCTATTAGCCTCACTTTTCTGTCAAAATCTGTTCTCTCCAACAACACCTGCTCTGCTCTCTGCACATTTTTCTCTTATTCTCCTTCTCTTCCTACCCCTCTTTATCTCCCTCTAACCACTCTTCTTCTCTCCCATCTCTCCCTCTCTCTCTATTTCGTAGGTCAGGCTGCTGGCAAGCAGTATGTATCCATTAAGAGGAAGTGCTGCAGCCATGCCAAAGAAGAGTTGACACAGGGACTTGGGCTGAGTGCAGGACACACACACACATACACACAAATATATGTGCAAACACACAGCTAAAAAATAAAGGAGAATGAAATGGATGGGAAAAGGAAAGAGGGGGACAAGTAGAGTTGAGGAAGGGACAAGGAGACAAAGCGTGTTACTGCACAGCTCATTGAGTTTCCACTCCCTCTGGACAGAAATAAAATTGCCACTTTCACTATTAAACTCCTTGTATGCACACTTATACACAGCTGTGTGCTTTCCTGTAACTCTTATGACTATTTCTGGAGATTTCAAGAAAAGGTTTAGTATACGTATGCTTTTAAAATATTAACGTCACCACTCCTGTTACCAACAGTCTTATTTTCAAGGGACTACACCAATTGCGCTGCTGCCAGGACTAGAAGGTGAGTCTCTGCTGCTACCAGCATGAAGCACTTGAAGAATGTGTCTAAAGTAATTATCTTATTGATCAAATAGTCCTCATGTGAACCTTATGTCGTCATTGACTTTGAGAGATGCTAAAATCTATGAATATTTAATGTTCATCAGCTCCTCTGAGAATGAACATGTATTTCATGTTTCATGTTTCTTTATGCCTTCTGAGGAGTGCATACAAAGTGCCTCTATAGGTCATACAAGGGTGTTTCTGCAACTATGGTCACTTTTGACTCCCAAATTAAAAAAAATCAACCTCTGTGAATTTTTACATATAACTTTTACCTAAAGTTGCTGCGGTAAAGAGACATTGCGTAAATTCAAAATAGTTCAATAGTTCAAAATACACAATTACTAACCACTACGCCAAGGACACACAATAAATACTTCAGAAGAAAAATATTATTTTGACCCTGCAGTAAATAAAACATGAAATGCCCACTAGGGTGCCCTTCAATGTGACAAAATATGAGGGCACATTAGAGGCACCCCAGTGATCTCTAGGGTGCTAATCCTAATCCTGACTAAGGTGTTTCACCATTATTGCATTACAACTTTCTGCACACTGATGTCCTTCTTTTGTTTTTTTGCCACTGTCCCTCAAACAGCCTCCACCACTGCTGTTATCCACGTGCTTGCTAACTTTGGGTTCCATAGAGATTAGATTTGTTGAGTAAAATTCATATGAAATCAGTTTTATCAAAACTCATAAATTATACTAAAACACACTGTTTAGTCAAGATTTGTAATAACACTGTGTACTTATTTATCAAGCATTATATGACAAATTTTAACTTAAATTCAGAATTTCACTGCTGGGACTTGCCCATAGGAAAAATGCCGATAGTTAATTTCTAAGCATGGTTTTAGCCTTGTTGTTTATTCTGTGAACATAATAAAGAGGGGCAGACTGCAAATTCCAAAAACAAAAAGTTGTTCTTTTATGTTAATTTCTCTTTCATTTGCTTTCAGAACATTCTGCTGTTGACCATAACATGGACAAACAGTTCCAGTATTTGTCTGCTTGACTTGCACTGACCCACTGTACTGTTCAGTTCCTTCTGTCTCTGGAGATCCAGCAGCCATATACCCATGGCAGTAGAAACAGCATCCCAAGGATACTGTTGAGTACAATTACTCATCTGCTCTTACAGTGAAAGGCTATCTCTAATGAAAAACATCTTATGTCGCAACTCAGAATGCAGATTTGTTACCAATGGTTGACACTGGTTAACACCTCACCTTGCAAGAGATCAGTTTAATGTAACAGCTTGCAGTTAGTTACACCACGGGTTTGATAGAGGAGCGCAAACTGAAGGCTCGGGATGGAAAAAGCATCACTTTGGTATGATTTTGGAACAAAAGTCACTTCAAGATGTAAATGATGCACAGGTGTGTGTATGGGCTCTTATGATGTTCCTCTGTGGCAGATTAACAGCCTGTACTGATATAGTTTTGTATGAATAAAATTTTGCCTACAGAAATTGCCTTCTGGCTATAAAGCATTAGCAATACAGCTTTAAAACAAGCTCATGGTGTTGCTGTCCTTTATTCTATAGGCAGTCATGCTTGTGAAGAGAATAATGGATAACTTTCCCTTCAATGTTTTAATAATGCAAATGTGAAAGACACAGGAACTGAGTGGAAAAAGAAGAAGATTCTTCCAGTAAATGGAGCTAGACCTCTCACATGTTATGTCTAACTCTGGAACGTTAAGAAAAGCCTTACAGCAGTCTGTGACGCAGCAGTTTCTCTCCCTGAAGTTGAACTAGCAGACAGGTCTTGTAGCCCTCTTACAAGAAAATTATTTTAGCTTCAGTGAAGAGTGTGGAAGACACAGAGCTTAAAATGCTTATTTTTCCAGGATTTTCAATCCAGGTGGGGAAAACATCATTTTTCTGAATGTGTTTGTAAAACAGAAAAAAATAACTGACAGCAACTTGAATGTCAACCTTTTATGAGTACCAAATAGATTCAGCTGTCATTATGTTTATGGATTTAGCTTAACCACACAAACTGGTGTGTAACAGCAAAATATTTTTCATTGATAGCAAAGAACATCTACTCACCCCTTTGCAGATGGAGACAGCTTCTTTGGACAGAGACTTGGGGTAGGACACATTGTGCTCCATAATGGACTGGAACAGCTCATCTTCATCCTCTCCATCAAATGGAGGCTAGGGGTGGAAGGACATAATAATGAGGATGTTGTTGGTGTTTCATCCATTGTCACAATCAGGATGAATAAATTGTTCTCTATTCTTTTTTACTGCTAAAAGTGTCACTATGTAGCGTCCAAGAGATCCAGCAGTGGTACATTTGTTTTTTTTCATTCGTGCCCTCTCGACTTGACAGGTAAATGGGCCAAACTAAGTGATAACTGTTTTCCCAAATGAATAAAGATGAAGAGGACAGAAAAACAGGACACAAATCTGACTTAACAGGTGACCAAGAATAGAGAGAAAAAATACAAAGAGAAAACACTGGGCACAACAAAAACACGTAAATGGAGAGAAAACAACAAGGAACAGTGCAGAATTTGTGCAAACAAGTTTCACAGGTAGACCTTGCAGGGCAAATGGAGTGGATGACCCAGCCTTTCCCCCTCTACACTGGGTGGTTATCATCAGTAACCATAATGTGGGTGTTTTGACAGTCCATAAAATGAATTATTCGTCATTTCCACTCCACTGGCCCCTTTGGGTAGAGATAGCCTGTCTGCGTCATGCCCTCTTTACCTGATTTCACACATGGCAGGGAGAGACAGAGGAAGGGAACATCTGAATAGGTAAAAACTTCTGTTAATGTTTATTTGGGAATGAAAAACATACCAATCTTCATGATTCATATCAAAAATATATTAATTAATATTAAATGTCTTAATAAGTCATTTAGTGCTGAGTCAAGGAATTTTATTAAATGAGGAAGAATATTGAGAAAGTAAAAAAAATATTGCCCATCAGTAGATTTTTTTTTTTTACTTTCTCAATGTTCTTCCTTCTGCTTCAACTAGAATGTGGTTTGAGGTTGATGCTGAAACCTTCAGAGACTGCATTTAGTCATCATAAATATCTAATACTAGACCAATCCATTAAGAGGTTCTAATGAAACTACCACACACAGCTTCTTTGGCTTTAGGCTAATGCTATCCTAGTTAAACAAAGCTCAAAGAAACAGAAAAGTAAGCTTCCCAAAACGGTTAGTGGTAACATAAAGAAGTGGGAAAATTGAATCTGCTCAATTTGTGCACAAAATGCAGGCACTTAGAGGCATGGACAAAATAAATAAGATAGAAATAAAATAAGATAAAAACATTGCCACACATTCTTTCCAAAGGATGCATCCTTAAGACAATATTCAGATATCTGCAAATCCTTAGTCATATTCCAAACAAAGTTCTTGTTTACCAAAGAAAAAATCTTTTCCAACACATTATTAATACATTTATGTCAATAACTCAGAGTATTATTCAGAATATTGACTTCCACTGGCAGCACACCATGCTTTATCCAGGATAAGACAAAGAAACTGAAAAAGTAGGCTTCCCAAACAAATCAGTGGTAACAAAGAGTTGTTCAGTGCAGAAATATGAGAAATGTACTTTTCTCAAGTTGTGTACAAATGTAGGCACTAAAAAGAACATAAAAAGGCTGGCAGCTTTTCTGGTTGCAGAGCAGCAAGCTGACTGAGGAAACGTGCCAAGCTTAACACGTGTTGCAACCACAGTAAGCCTTTTTCGGTTTCTCTGTGCGTATTTGGGCCCAGCAGGACACAAATTAATTGGGGCACATTCAACAGACAATGAAACATTCAGAAATGTGTTTCTTTTTGAACTCCTATAACATTTTCAAACTTGTGATGAACAAATGGATTAAAATCGGTGACATCACTTGAGGCAATTATTAGATCCATTAGATTGTTTTTCAGACTCTACCGTAGATCCCTCTGGAGCAGGGGTAGGCGAACCTGCGGCACCAGAGCCACAAGCAGCTCTTTAGCTCTCTCTCCAGTGGCTTTCTTTGGCTTTGACAAAATATTATATGGTAATAAAAATGGATACTTTTCAACATTTTCATTTATCATTGTTGTTGGCCTAAAGTGATTCTTACGTTCTCAAATTGTAAAAAATTATAGCCATTACACAGACAAAAAAATAACTAATAAATGTAACATTTTGTCAACTAAAATGTACATCATATTTTACAACATTTTCGTCAATAGTGGTGGCTACCAATCTTGAGTCTAGCTAGGCTAACTATAAATAAAAATTATATAAAAATTCCAAATGCCCCAAAATATAAGTCTCGGAGAAAAATAGAGAATTTAATAGTGTGTGGACAGATTTGTTGGCTTTCACCACCAATGCTGCTGGCTTACCGGTATGCTTGATCTGCAGCAAGAAATTAGCATTAGCCATGCTCAAATATGTTTCACGGCCTCTGACCTTTTTCTTGTTTTTTTGGGGGGGCCAAAAATTGCCTGTTTGATAGTAAAGGTTGCTGACCCCTGCTCTGGACTCACAAAAATGTCTATACAACTTTTTTGCAGTAGTACTCCCCAAGACCTGTAAAACAGACTTTGAAGTGTAAAATTGGTAGAGTTCCCCTTTAATCCAACTGCAGTTAAACTCCAAAAACAGTAAGCCATTTAAATTAGTAACCTAATTTTTCAGGCGCATAAAACCTCACTGGTCAAATCTGTCATCAGTAAGCGGAGCTGACTACTTTAAAAGAGGGTAAAAGGTTACACCAAATAGGATATGCCCTGATTGGAGGGTAGATGGTGTTTTTATATGTCAATGTGTATTATCAGTGCTGGTGGGAAGGTCTTTAGAAAGCACCACCTCTGTACATTTAGTCCACTGAAGAGCCTTGCTATGAGGGGAATGTCAATGTGGGAAAAATGTAGCTGTGAGCAGTCTGTGAGCAACCTTATTTCTGTGTAAAGTTTCTGCATTATCTGCTACAGATTATGCAGAAACTTTATGCAAACTCTCTGTGTGTGTGTTTGTGTGTGTGTTATGAGCGTGTACACCACTGACCTGCCCTGCCAGCATTTCGTAGAGCAGAACTCCATATGCCCACCAGTCTACAGAGCGTCCATATGGTTGATATGCAATAATCTGTAGGTGAAGGAAGAGAAAAAGTTCAGAAGTTCAGCCTGGCTCAGACAACTAATTCTGCATGTAAAAATAGGGCATCATAAGCTGTGGAAAAAACACATGATTATTTGACTGATTTGCCATTCTGATCATGAGATTTAGCAAACCAGACTGTACATTTGGTGACACAATGGTTTCCCAGAAGTATGGGGAGAAGTATCAGCTCAGTCTCATCTCGCGTCAGTCAAGTCAAAGATGTTGACATGACATTGTGGCACTCAGCTGTATCTACAACTACAGTAATCTGTTTACAAGTGAGAGACTAAAAGTCTGTCAGTGTGAATGATATAATGCATATTAAAAATGTATAGTACTTGGATCTGCCTTTTACTGTGTCACCAACATTTCTTCTTCTCTCAGCTCGAGACCAAAACTAAGGCATTTTCTCATCTATTTGTGACATCCACATCCAGACTTTGATGCACTTTTTAAGTACTAATTGGTATGCTACCTTGCTACACAGCAAATCTACCAGTTGACAATGGATAGGGCAGTCAAAAGGCAGACATTCGCCAACCTGCCAACTAAGCTAGATCACAACACACACGTGATCACTTTGGACTTGTCGATTAAATATGCAGCTAGTCACAGATTCTATAAATATTTTAGTGCATTACAAGTTCCATCACTTATCCTATATTCTGTTACCTCTGTATGCACTGAAATTAGATTGCAAAGATATAGAAGATTCTTTGCAATAGAAGATATTCACTAACAATGTATGCACTCCTTCTGTGTAATGTATTGGAATCATATTCAATCCAGCACACACCAAATCTCCCATATATTATAATCTTTATATAGATGTTAAGCCCCGTTGTGTGAACATGAATGGTCCCACACAAAAGCTAAATACACACATATAGCATTCATATACGTTTTCTTTTGTAAATCCATGGCAAGCATATTTCAGAAAGCCTTTACAATATACCCCATGAGCCTGTTCCCAGCATGGCTGCAAATATTTTGATGCACGCTGCTATTGCTTGTCTCATTTTTATGTAAGTCTAAATGACTGTGATAGTGAAGCATTTCTGAATGATAAAATTATTCAATGCAACATCAAACAATCACCAATTGTGCTTTCCGCTTTACTAAATGTCCTTGTTAAGTTGCTAACTGATACAGCATCATTTTTTAATCAAAATGTAAAGCCAACTGTGCCACAAAATGCTACAGACACATGCATATGAAGTTTGACAGCAGCCTTGAATATCCTGTTCACGCATTAAAAACTCACAGAACATACTTACTTTATACTGTGATTTGACTCAGACAAAAAATACGTATAAAGAAAGGGTGTGACCACATCTGTGACTAGACAGAGGTGCTGGATGAGTCCTTAATCACATACATTTTAAATCACCTGCAACAATTTATTCTGCCATGCTTCAACAAAGAAGATAGGAAGAAAAAAATTCTGACAAGAAGCGAGCATTTGGTGCGTAGGAAGGGAGTAGATAACAAAACACAGAAAAGAGTCCCTGTATGTCATTTTACAAGACACAAGTACCTCAGAAAAACGTTGTTTTTGATGTTTGCTACAGCTGAAGCTGAAAAACAGAGTTCACACTTTTTCACACAATAACAAGTCTGCACTAAACAGCAAAGCCACTGTGAATAAAACTCTTTCTGGCAAGTGTTTGCACATTTGGGAGGGCAATCTTGACATCTACATTTTGTTTTGTTTAAGTCCTTTCGTCCAAATGTTCTGGAGACTGACAACACCATCTCTGACAACAGCTGGTGATTCTTACTGACTTAAATGGCTGTTTCATTTTTGAGTGACCAAGGATCCAGTTATAATATCTGATGTCAAAAGAGGAAGGTCTATTATCAGGTGAGAGAAATCATCCAAATGACTGTAATGCCATTACTCATAATAGTCTTCACTTTCAGTGATATTAGGGACAGTTTTATAGCTGGTACGTATTTTTAATCCAAAGGCAATGACACAGAGAGAAGCAGAAGAGAGATAAAGACACTGGAAGTGAAGAATTTCAGCAAAAAGACCATATAAACCTTGAGTAGATATTGTAGGAAGCCTCTCTCAACTGTGACATTTTCTCTGGCGACAGCGGGATTTCCTGTGGGTTTCTCTAATATTGGCCAAGGTTAATGTTTTCACCCACTTTGACCCTAATCACACCAGACAGAAGACTCACATATTTACACTTCACACCCACTTACACATCCAACCATTTCTCTAAAGCCTCTTCTGCTACATAGCAGCAATTGGTGCAGCCATGAGCATATGCAATGCAGGCTCACATACAGCACTTAAGCACATACAGTATGTTAAGGCATTCATGTGCACGCACACACAAGACACACAGGGCAATACGGTGACCCACACATAAAAAACAACTTCAGGTGTGTAACAGCAGTTCTGTCATAGGGCACAATGCTCTATGACCTTTGTTGAGTACCATCTTAGCTCACATGTGCTGCAGTGGAACACTCCAGCTTAGTAACACAAATACCGATAAACAAAAATAAACGCATGCATATACAAACATACATATGAAGCATACACACCGATGCGCCTAGGTGTGTGGAAGCAGATCTGTCCTGTATTACTCTATAACCTTCGCCATGTAAAACCTGACCTCTGCCTTGCCCATGGGAGCGCACATACACACACAAACACACCTCCAGCTCTCCACTCCACTGTCATAAAGCTGTCCTGAGGGTTTATGTGAGCCGGCTGGACACGCAGTACTTCCACGTGTTAAACCTCATACACAAAGGCAAGCATGTGAACGAACTTGCATGCACATACACTAATGGTTCTTTGAATGTCACGATGACTGTGAGAGTTATAGAAGCAGAAAGTATTTATATAGCACACATTTAATGTTAATGCCGTGTGACTTAACCAGTTCCTTCTCAATACATCATATTTCCCTCTTTTTTTAGTTTGACACAAAGCTAAATACAAATATCTCCCCCCCAAAAAACACACACGTAGTAATACTGAAATTGGCTTTTTAACAATATACAAAATAACTTTGTCCGCTATGTATTTGATCTAAGTCTATATAAACCTCATATACTACCTACCACTCTCTACTGTAGGTCTAGCATGTAACATTTATTATATAAGATTATTTTATAAAAATGTTGACTATGTAACATCAGTATGGCCACATACTCATTTCATTTTTATTCTAAGCTAATGTCAAAGACTCGTGGAGTTCAATGGTTTAATATTCCAGAAGTAATGCTTATAAATAGTGTGGTGTTTATTTTGGTGTAAAAAATCTTTGCCAGTGTACGAACGTATGTATTTTGGAATGTAGTAGAAAAGAAGGTATTTCAGATGTTATTTTTGAATGGTTTTTTAGGATGTGAAAGCCTCTTATCACAATACCTCTAACCTTGACCCTGGTGAACATGTTTTATAAACTTCAGATGGTCAACTACACATAAACAACATGCAGACCTTGCATAACCTTTCACGTGCTCAGTGCAGTACAGTACAGGGTATGTATGGTAACGTGGTTTAAGTATGCAGCAACTTAATGGCATAAATATACTTATCACTTAATGTTTCGTGTTTACTCATACTGCATTACATCATCTATGTAATTTATTGTACAGACCAAAGATCTGTGCAGACAGTTGCTTACAGCCTGATGGAGGAACTATGGCAACAGGTGGAGGCACTAAAGAAAGGATATACATGTAGAATGAAAATGTTCTATAAATGTGCAGTCACTCTGTAATCTTGCATCTTTTTATCAGTAAAATTAACTCAGTTATAGTTTCTGTTTGTTGGGACAGTTTCTATCACTACCTGGTAAGGTGTTATGTTTTGACATAGTTTGACCCTGAATTATTTCCATCATGTAAAACAGACCTACTTGTTTCCATGCAATTTATTGGCTTCCATTTGTTTACTCTAATCATCTTTATTCCATCCTCACCAAGCAGAACTGGAGGCCAGACTGAATGCCAGTGATTTGGAGGGTCAAAGAAAACGAGTGGAAAACAAGTGCAGAGGGAAAGTAAAGGTAATACAACAAACAAGTCAATTATTAATGACCAGAAAAGTAGATTTCCTCCTCATCTCAGCTCATCTAGTCTCACCTCATGATTTATCTTTGACTGAACGGTTGAAATCATGCAGTATTTATTCCCGCATTTTTAACAAATAGAGTTCAACGCGAGACTGACAGAAGTCGAAATGCACTGCAGGATGCTGATCAAGGTAAATTAATTCTTCATTTATACTGCATGGCTAGTTACGTCAGTAGATGTCAAATATATTTTAAATTAGAGAGACTGTTTTTTTTTTTTTTTTTGCTTTTTGCTTTGTATTAAAGATAATGTCAGACTGTTTTTATCTGATTAAATATTTTATGTTCTACTCCTCCATGTAAAGTTAGTTGTTGATCAAGGTAAAGCGAGAAAGTTCAGTACTGTGGAAATTCTTCTTTAGCTACCATATGGTGTATAAGATATTCATATCTAGATTATTAGGTAGGTAGTAGGTTGACCCACTGGGGGTCCTGATAGAAAATGCTGTGAATTTAACATGACATTTTCATAATTCAGTAGGAGCCTTTTCACCCCTTTAAGGTTTGTTAATGTTGTCTCAAAAAGGATTCCACTCTAGTTCTGCTGAAATTATACTATCTAATGGAATAAACAAACAAATGAAATCATGACGTAATGAAATCCCCTCATATTCCCCAAAGAATGAAATTCAGTGGCTTTCCCAGAATATCCATGACCAATGTAATAGAGGTTAAGCCTTATATTATCTAATCTCACCATTAACTCTCCCTCCAACCGAAGGATTGAATTCTTGTATCTGAACTTGATACAGCTGATCGAGGTGAAGAGAATAAGGACATGCTTATAGTGCTGATTCTGTACATTTTGTTCTTTATTATATTCTCTGTTCGCCTAATTGATGGCTTGATAGGTTTCACTCTTCTGATCTACTCCAATAG